TTCATTTAGAAATGTACTGAAGAATGGTTAGAATTGCCCATTTTTTGAATGAGACAATCTATTGGGTAACACCAATAAAATAATATGTATATGTATTGATATATATTTAAAACATATGGAAATATGTATAAATTACCAAATCTGAATGTCTAGGAGCTAAATAAGTTATTTTCAAAATAATTGGTTGGCATTAATCATATTTTAAGAGTATATTACATACAATATATTACATACATTTATATTTTTTCACATGAAAATTATTAAAATAATAGTACCTACTGTTTTTTACCTACTGTGTAGTCCTTCTAGAGAAACTGACACTTTTACTTGATGTCTTATGTGTTATCATTTGTCTCAGTTACTACCAAACTGTCTGTGGTGTGACATCTTAAAAGTTATAAAGGTCTGAAATGTATGCAAGATTAATGGTAAATCATACAAATAGAATATAATGAAATAAAAATGTCTCACATGAGTCCCGTAAAGCCTTTGAGGCAACCGCAGAGGAAGGTGTTTCCCACAGCCTTACAATCACCCCCATTCTGACAAGGTGAGGGCACACAGGACGTCACCTCCATCTCACAGCGGGACCCCGTGAACTGTGGCAGGCAGCTGCATGAGAAGTCTGGGGACAAATTCAAAGAAAAACAAGACTTCTAAGACAGAGCTAATACAGAGCTAAGGACTAAAATCGGAACATCTGACGTTATTGAAGTATTGATGTTATATGCGCTTTCTATTTCTCACCACCAGAAGGCAGCTTTGTACAAGAAGCTCCATTCTGGCACGGTCCTCCGAGGCACGGATCAGGGTATAAAACACATCCCAGCTTCACGTCACTCAGCCCAGCTACCTCTGCATACCGGCTCCTCTTATTCTGAAGAGGGAGTTCATTCCCATTGAGCATGATGGACCCGAGGCACCCCTGCAAGCCTTCTTGCGCCCGTGGGGGCCTCTGGCTGCCTCTGCCCACTGGTCCGTGCAACACCTGAGCCCCAAAGAACAGCGATCCGTCTGCGGCCAGGGGCCAGATGCGGACAGGGGCCCGCGCAGAACGCCGGCGCTCCACATAGCTGTCGTCCAGCGAAAGGAGAGTGTAGTTACTAGTGAGCTCTAGGGTCACGGCGTGCCAGGACCCATCATTGATTGGACGCCCTGAGATGCCCAGGATGTCCAGTCTGTTGTCACAGTCCATCTGGAACCACAGACGCCCTTCCTCTATCTGAACAAACACAAATATACAACCACTCACTAGAGCAAACACAATTGCACAGACAGCTCACAATGGCAGGTTCAATAATACAATAATATAAAAAAAGATATATATATACAGTATATATATATATATATATATATATA